CTGTTACACTGCATGTTAGCAAACCCACCCGCCAGCAGTTCCTTCCCCAAACACCAGCAAACCTCCAAGGTCAAGCAACCTGGCAGCCACAGCGCATCCCCAGATTAACAGCGCTCTGCCTGTGTTACCAGCGGACACCTACGCTCACCTCCACAGCAGTTTTCCCATCAATACCTTCGTTCTCCACCCCTGCAACAGAAAAGGCGGACAAATACACGGGGGGATGGGAAAGACCAGAGACAGAGGGACCTAGTTAGAAACAGCAAGTCTTCAGGCGAGGCAGTGATGAAAAGGATTTTACGCCAAGCAGACACCGCTGAACCTGCACAAGACAAGCTCGTTCTGAGGCAGTGACAACACTGCCTTATTTCTGCAGAAACAGAAATAATCCAAAAACACTGCACACAGCTGCTGCCTTTTGATCTTGTGCTAGTAATAAGAAAGGTGACTTTAACTGTCCTTGACAGAAGTCCCTACAGGTACCCAAAGCACTCACGCTTCTGTGTTCCTGCTCTCAGGACAGAGCAGCCCCAGCACCGGTGTCTTGCCTGGAGGTGGAGAGAAGCAGCGGGCAGCCCCCTCGCCTGTTCAGAGGTGAGGGCATTCCTCAGGTCTCGATGCCCACCAACACAGAATGTGTTTTCTCAGCGAGGAGCCCACTCGGAGCCTGCCCACGGCAAAGCCACGGCGAGTGCCTGCTTCGGGCAGCACGGGACGGAGCCACGGGCAGGCAGCGGTGGGTGCGCAGAACCGGGAGAGGCCTGGGCAGCACAAGCTGGCACTGCCAATGGACAGCCCCCTGCGCCGGGCTGGGGGGGGCTGGCTGCAGGTCCCCCCTCCCCACAGACCCCCGGGCACCTGCCAGCTTCCTCGCGCTCACACGGGGAGGATTTTTCCGCCTCCCTCCCTCCCTCCCCCAGCAATCAGCTCACACTTTGAACAGCAGGGATTACGCGGCGTAACTTTTTAACCCAGCCGCTGGAGCTGCACACTTGGCACCCATTAAAAAAGGAAAAAAACAGCACGGGGGGGGGGGGGGGGGGGGGGGGGGAAGGCTCTCAGCGCTGCATTCCCCACACACTTGAATTACTGCCAGGCTGCTCAAACGCCAATGAACTTTGCTTTAGGTGACAAACTTCAAAAATTCACCTCACCACCATAAGAACAGGGGAGGGAGGAAGCGGCAGGTCACTCGGGGGGTCACTCGCTCAGTCAGGGTGAGGGGCTCTGGGCCATGCCGAGGGGCAGCCCCGCAGCAGCAGGGCTGTGCCTTCCTCCTGTGATCAGATCAGGGGAACGGGCTGGGCCTGAGCGCGGCGCTCAGCATGCCGACTCCTCGGGCCCAAACACAGCGTGCTCGGGGAGCGCAGACCCCCAGGAGCCCGACCCAGCCGGGCCCACACCGGGACAGGGCACGGGACCCGGGGCACAGGAGGGGCCGGGAGGGCCGCGCCTCGCCCTGCCCGCAGCCCCCCAGCCCCCGGCCTGGAGCCGAACCGCGCTGCCTTCAGGCAGAGCCCCGCACGCTGCTCGCCCTTCCCCGGGCAGCACACCCGGCCCTGCCCGGCCCCTTCCTGCCGTGCCCGCGGCTCCCCCGCCTCGGCCCCGCTCCGGGCACGGGGCCGCAGCCGCCCGCAGAGCCCCCCCCAGCGGCCCCGTGCGGCCGAGCCAGGCCCCGAGCCCCGGGCCCGCTCCCGGTCCCGCTCCCGCCGCAGGGCCGCGGGCAGGCCGGGACCGGGCCCCGCGGCCTCCCCCGAGCGGGGCCCGCCCGGCCCCGGGGCCGCCCCCGGCCGGGGCGCGGGGCCCTCAGCGGCCGCCCCCGGCCCCCCCCCGCGGCCGCGCCGCGTCCCGCTGAAGGTCACCTTCACGGGGCCGGGGCTCCCCGCGCCGCCGCGGGCAGGGCCCGGCCGCCCCCCGCCGCCGCCCGGCCCCCGCCGCCCGCCCGGGCCCGAGCCCAGCGGCTCCGCTCCCCGCCGCGGCCCCCCCGGCCCCGACCGCCCCCCCCCCCGCGGTGGCGGCCCGGGCCTGGCCCCCCCCCCCCTCCTCCCCGCCTTCCCCGGGGCCGCTCGCTCGGAGCCGCCGCCGGGGCGGTCCCGGGGCTCGGCCCCGCCGCGGGGAGCGGAGCGGAGCCGGGGCTCGGCGGGGCGGGCACGGGGATGGGCACGGGCACGGCGCCCCCCGCCCGCACCGCGTGGGGCCGGGCCGGGCCGGGCCGACACAGCCCCGAGCCCCCGCTCCAGCCCCGGCCCTGCCCCGACCCCGGGGGCAGCAGCGGCGGCGCCCCCGTCCCCTCCCCGCCCGTCCCGTCCCGTCCCGCCAGGCCCGGCCCCGCCGCCCGCAGCCCGCCATGCCGGGCCCGGCGCCGCGCTCCCCTTCCCGCTGCCCTTACCGGGGCGCTGCTCGGCCTCCGGCGGCCTCCTGGCGCGGGGCCCCGGCTGCTGCTGCTCGGCGCCCGGCACGGCCGGCGGCATCTGGCCCGGCCCGATCCCCACGGGGCGCCCCGCGCCGTGCCCGCCGCCCGCCGCGAAGGACAGGGACAGCGCCGCGTGCACCACGTGGCCCCCCCGGCCCCGCCCCGCCTTAAAGGGGCCGCGCCACGGAGCGCTCCCGGCACGGCAGCCCCGGCGCAGGCCCGGCGGGGGCGGGCGGGGGGTAGGGGGCAGGGGCAGGGCCCGGCCCGGGGGGCGTGAGGGGAAGGGCAGCTCCTGCGGCGCTGTGACGGGCGCCTCAGGAAGCACTTGGTTGTAAAGAATCAAGAATAAGAAATAAGGAATAAATAATAAAGAATAAGGAATAAGGATTAAAGAATAAAGCCTCGGACGCGGTCCTGGGGGGCGATGGTGCCGGGCAGGGAGCTGCGCCTCGAACAACTGTCAGCCCGCGGGCTGCTGCTGTGCTCCACCGGGGGCCGGGAGCAGCCCCGCGCCCACCAAGGCTGGGACCCGGGGCCCGGCCCTTCGCCCACCGCCCGCTGCAGCCCCAGCAGGGCTGGGCCCCCGGCAGCCTCCGCACGGCCCCAGAGCACCGGGAGCGGGGCTGGGGCTCGGCCCTGCAGGGCCCCGAGGCCCCCGCTGGGGCTGCAGCTCAGCGCCTGCCCCCAGCAGCGGGTGTCGGGGTGCGCAGACACAGAAAGGCCCGGGGGGTTCCCGGGGCTTGGTGCCCACATCACTGCTGTAATGGCCATGGCAGGGACGGGTCGTGCTCTGGAAGCTGAAATGCTGCGGAAACAGGCAGGAGGCCCCGCTGCACCCTTAATGTTAACTGCTTCTGTGCTGCCTGCACCACCGTGCCCACGCCTGACTCTGCTGCCCTGTTCTTACCCAAGGGGAACAAAAGGGGGAAGGTGCGGGGGCTCGTTACGGTGCAGACACGCAGGGCCGTGCTCTGTGCCCCCTGCCCAACCCCTGGTGCTCGGCTGGGGGCTCTGGGCTGGGCCAGGGGCTCTGGGCTGGCGCGTGATGGGCATCGCTGCAGCGCCGCTGGAGAGGGAGCAAACAGAGAAACTTGGCGTTTGGGAGCAAAGGGCAGGTTTTAACTGGTGAGGAGACGCGGCACTTTCATCTCTGTGCTCTACAGAGCGCGTGGGGCGGGGGAGAGCCTGCACGTGAGCGCTGCCATCAGCTCGGGGCTGCTCTGCTGGGCCCGGCAGGGAGGCCCCGCGGCGCGGCGCGGCTCATGGCACCCAGCGGGAGCGGGGCGGCCTGCGGGCAGCGGGAGGATTTCTCTCCCCTCACTTCCCCAGCAGTGCTCAGCAGCCAGGCAGCACAGGGGAGTGACAAGAGCGGGCGTGCAGGGAGGAGGCGGCAGCAGCATTACTGCCAAATTGGCTCATCGGGGCTGGTGGGTGGCCTGTGGGCACCAAGCAGAGCAGGGACCCCGAGATGTTCACCTACACCCCCAAAATGGAGGCTTGTTGGTGTGCTGCCCATCAATCTTCCCAGTGGGGAGCGCCACCACAGTGCCACGCTTCTGCCTCCGGGCAGCTCGTTTTGGGTACCTCGTGCATTGAGATGCGTTGTGCAGAGAGAAATCCCTGACCATTGCTCTCTTCAGAGACCACATTTCTTGCTGTGCCTTCAGCTTTTCGGGGCAACCAGGAGAAGTCATCCCCACACTCCCACACTGCAGATCCTCATCTATCAGCTGTGTCCTGCGTGTGATTTTCTGTGCAGTGAGGCAGTTTGTGGGAAGCCTCAAGCTCTGCCTCAGGCTGAACATTCCCCAGGGCAATAGGATTAGGCCCAGCCACCACAGCTCTGCACAGCGCAGTGCAGGAGAGGGGCAGGTCCCCAGGCCAGTGGGGCAGATGTCAGCAGGGAGTGCTCCACCAGGCGGTTTGCAGCACAGCAGATTAGGAGCCAAGCCCATGCAGGCTCGCAGCCTTACCACGGAGCAAGAAGGGCACCGGCGGCGGGGGCGTGCTGGGCTTTGCTGCGCAGGACGGCACTGGCACCACTGGTGGGTGGCATGTTCCCAGCGTGGCCTCAGTGCCAGCTGGCCCACCCGCACAGCCCTGCTGATGCACATCTTGCCCTAGCCGCTTTGCCCCTAATTATTTTTCTTGGCCGCACTGGGGCCCCCCACCCAAGTCCGGTGGCAGCCCCAGCCCCTCGAGGTGCTGGTTCCTCCTGGCCAAGCGCAGCCTCCGGGGGCCGGGGAGCCTCTGCGCTATTTGGGCCCTCACAACCGCACCTTCAAAGTGGAGAGGGGAAGGATATAGCCAGGAGCGCTTAGATTAGCCCTAGCAAGCACATTCAGAAAATATGGCTTTTTAATTAACAGGGTCAAGAGGGAGAGCTTCCCGACCAGCCCGCCCGGGGCTAGAGCCAGACGAGGGGAGCGTGCGAGTCACCAGGACTGGCTCTGCCTGCCAGGGCTCGGCGCAGCTCCTCCGCCTGTGCTGCGGGTTGTGCAACGTGAGGCATCCCTTCCTCAGAGAGATTTCAGAAGAGTAATAACGCAAAGAAAAGGGGATTAACAAATCCAACGCACCAAAACCATTAGGGTTTGCACAGCTGCAGAACAAAACCAGCGGGTACAGGAACGGTGCCCGGCTGTTAGTCTGCACACAGAGACTTGTCAGCACATCGTGTTTTATATATATATAAGATATTGTTTAACAACTGAGCGTTATTGCTATGCATCCATTTCCAGTCTAATCATTAAGCTTTACGAGTCAACATTACACATTGCTTGTTCCATACAAAGCATGTAGGTGTCAGCAGTTACACTCCTCGGTCTATACGTGTCTATGCATAGAGCTATACAGCGCAGGTTTAAGCTACGTTAACCATTTCGCCTCCCAAGGAGTCTGACAGCACGGGACAAATGCAGCCGGCAGGTCGCTGCTTTGTCCCCAAGCCGGGGACCCGGGAGTCGGTCAGAGGCTGCCCGCGTCCCTGCTGCCCCCCTGGGCTCGCTGCGTCCAACAGCGGCCGACTTAACAAAATAGGAATGCTGCCTCCTTGCTCCTTCTTTTTTTTTTTTTTTTTTTTTTTTGATCTCTGATCATTTTATATAAATACAAAGATTAAAATAATTTATTTCAACATAATTTCTATTACAATCATACAGTGTATTCCCCTCAAAGCAAGTGCACGTATGTATATATGTATATATATTTGTGTATATAGAGTACTCTAGAGCTTCCCCCCCGGGAGCAGCAGCAGCAGTGACTGAAGTAGGTGCAGGGCACAGAGCTGGTCCCCAGGCTTGGGGGTGAGGATCCCCCGGGAAGCGCAGGCCTAGCCCCAAACACCTCCATCTCGTAGGCCTGCGGGGGGACCGGGAGGCTCTGTGCACCCGAGGGCTGCTGGCGGGGACTCACAGCGCCCTGCTCCCGGCCCTGCTGCCTTTCCCCGTTCATCCACGCTGCTGGGGTGCTGGGAAGGGCAGAAGTCATGGGGGCACCGGGATGAGATGAGATGAACTCCTCCAGCCAGCTGCTAATTCCTGGTGAAGAGGGAGGGATCCTGCAGCTCCCACAGGGTTGCTTCATTTACATTGCTAGGCACTAAAAATGCTGATTGCTAGGAAGGTATTTACAGAGAATAGGAAGGTATTTACACTCCCTCCCCTTTTTAATGCTTAGGTCACTCACGACCACCATGATTTTATCAACGATTTTATAATAAAAACGCAACACACTCTGTGTATCGGGATTGTCTAGAAACGAGGGGGAAGGCCGCTGCGCAAACCACAGCCAAAGTAACGCTCGGCTGAACGGCGCAGAGGCTCCTTTACCCTCTGACATTAAAATAAAACCAAGCCTGCAGCACGCAGCCAGGTCTGAGGCCCACGAGGCGCCTCACCATGGCCCGGCCCTGAGCTGTCCCTGGGGCTGCTGTGTCGGGGAGCTCCTCGCAAATTCAGGGTGTGCTTAGAGATCGGTAACGGCCAGGGGCAGCACTGGGGGGTGCCTCACCTCCAAATCCCAGCGCTTCACCAGGCAGGTTCGTGACACAGGCAGAGAAAAGGTGCAAAAGCCGCTCATTTCTGTCCTGCCGGTGCAGAGGGTATGCTTGGGGGCTGTTTGAACCATCCAAAGGGCTGGCCCGGGGACTGTTACTGAGAATCTCGTAAAAGCCTTTTAATATATAAACACTGAGCTACAAAAATAGAGACCTCTGACTGCGTGAGTGCTCTGCGGGCGAGCTTGAGGTGGGTTCAGCCCGGCTGCTGCAGGACGGTGCTTTCCAGGGGCTTCAAACTGAACTCGAGGGGATGGGCTCTGAGGTGGCACACGGCTTCCTCCTGCCCGCACCGGGCATCGCCCTGCGGGACACGGGCCCTGGTGTCCCGACAGCGCGAGGCTCAGGGGCAGTGAGGGCTGGCACCCGAACCGCCTGGCTCCCGGTTACCTGCGGGGCTCCTTAGGTCCCACTGGAGCCCCCAGGCCAGCCCTGCCCCCTGCCCCGCTTCTTCCTGTCCCAGTTTCTGCTCGTCCACATTTAGGGTACACCTCTGCTTCAGAGCAGCTGAAGCCGTTGGTTTGCTCTGAAGTCAGGCGAGGCAGAAGGGGCCAACACTGAGTGCTGGCACAGGCCGTGGTGCTGGGAGGGAGGACAGGCAGCGCGGGAGGACAGCCCCACGGTGCCTCTTCCAGCTGCTCCCCAGAGCCCGGCTCAGGGAGCTGCAGCACCCAAGGGACGCAGGCGAGGCAGACTGTGCAGCCTGTGCTCCTCATGGGGCTGCCCCTGCGGCTGGTCCTGCCCCAGCAGGGCGGTGGTGCACGAGATCCCACCTTCACCAGCGCCTTGCTGACGTGGTTATTGTCTGTGGTGAAAAACCAACACCTGGCCATGGGAGCAAGCAACAGACACAGCGCTGGTGCATGGCCAGAGCCTGCCCATCGCAGGTGATGTGTCAGGAACCTGCTCCAGCAGCACGGGAGGAGCAGCGCCGGGTGCTGCAAGCGGGCGCCTTCCAGCTTGTGGGTCATCTCCATCGGCCTTGTCCCAGCCTGCCAGGTGCATGTAACGTGGGGGAAATCCGTGTGACAGTCAGACAAATCCCGCAGAGGGGAGTGGTGACTTGGGACATGGCTGGCACAGCTGCACCGCCCTGCGGAGGGGGAAAACCCCTCCGGTGCCAACGGGGCCGACTGTCACTGGCAACCCCTGGGCACCGAGGGCTGTGCTGGCGGTGTCTGCGCCCCTCCAGCCCAGCCCAGCCGGGGGTGCCTGAGGCAGGGCTGTGCTGAGCCCTGTGCCAAGCCACGGGTCTTCCTGCTGTGCACCCGGTACCCCAGGCCTGGGGAACACGACCGGCGTCTTCTCCAAGGAACAGCAGCAGCAGGAACAGGAGGATCTGCTTGTCTTGGAAACACGATTTTTCTGCCTTTCTTCCCCTGGAAGCTCTGCACAGCTGCTCAGCTGTTCCCCCTTGGCAAGCCTCATGCAGCATCACCACACCGTGCTCTCCGTGCCCCAGCACCGCGGGCTGCTCAGCGGGGAGGGGGTGCGGGCAGGGCACCCACCTTCCGCTGCCTCCTTCCCCTCCCGGGGGACAGGGGCAGCAACCTCGGCCGGCGCCCACCTCAGTGCCGCCGGGCTCAGCGCCTTCCCGGCCGCTCGGGCCGTGCCCACCCCTGGCCGCCTACTCCCGGGCCCGGGCTCCGTGGGGCCCAGACCCTGGCCGCTTGTTGGGCTCGCCCTTGGCTGGCCGGGCTCTGGCTGCGGGCTCCTGGGGGGGTGGCCGGGGGGACCTCTGTGCCCGGGGGGCCGCAGCGGTGCTGGCCGTGCCCCGGGCCTCGGCGGGGGGCTCCGGTGGGCGCTGCGGGGCGGGCGGCCGTGTGGTGTAGAGGAAGAGGGCTGGGTCAGGCATGGCATCGTGCTCCTCACGTGCGGGGTCCCTGGGGTGGGCACCGTCCCCGGGAGGGCGCCGTGGGTGTGCCCGGTGGCCGCGGCGCCGGGGCCTGGCCTCGGGCGGGGGCTGCTCGGCGGGTGGCCGCCCGCTGGTGCGGGGTCCCGGCAGGCGCTGGGCAGTGGCGTGCAGCTGCAGGGAGAGGTAGGCGGCCGCCTCCGTCTGCTTCTGCAGCTCAGTGTCGAGGATGGTGACGCGGTGGCTCCGCCGCTTCAGCTCCTCCAGGAACCTGCGCTCCTTGTTGCGGAGGCTGGAGCGCAGCGCGGCCACCAGGGTCTCCTTGTGGCGCAGCTCCTTGCGCAGCTCCAGGTTGTCCTTCTCCTTCTCCTGCAGCTGGGCTTCCATCACCCGGCACCTCTCCTCCAGCTCCCGGTCCAGCACGTCTGCAGGGCAAGGCATGGGGGGTTAGGAAGAGGCAGGAGTGGCTCTGCCCAGCAGACAGAGCAGTTCCCCACGTGGAGGTGGCTGTGAGGGCACCAGACCCAGGGGCATGGTTCAGCAGGATGCCGGCACGTCCATGCTGTGCCACCAGGCTGCTCAGGTGCTTTTGGAAACCGTGGCCTGAAAACTCCCCGTGGGCAGCCCACCAGCACATGCAGCCCTTCCCTGTGTTCTGGGGCAAGGCACGAGATCCCCTCTCGATGGGGCCAGTGTACAGGCTGGGACAGAGGAGAAAAACCCAGCAGCAAAGCAATCAACCCAATTTATTGAGTGCTGTTGCCCTCATGCCAAGAGACTGCAGAGCCAGATTAGAGAGGATAGAGGATGCTAATCCAGGATTACCAGGCAGTCGAGCCATGCTCAGCTGAGGGCCCAGGGAGAAACGGACGGACATGCATGTGGCTATTTATACGGGGGCACATAAACGTGTTCATTTATTTACGGACACCCAGGAGGAGCCAGGTGCTGCAGCCGAAGCCGCTCTCGTTGCACCGCGGTGCAGCTGCGGGTGGGACCAGGCAGCCCCGGGTGCTCCCCACACAGGCGCTGCCCCGCGTCTCCAGTGCCTCGCCCCGCTGTCCCACCCTCAGCTTGGCCTCCGCCTGGTGATGCCAGGGCCCTGCAGGGGCGGCCGGTTCCAGGTGCGAGTGGAAGCGCCCATGAGCAGCAGCGATCCTGCTGGCACGCAGCACCCCGGCAGCACAGCGATGCGCCCGCAGTTGCCTACAGGCAGCCGTGGGGTCGGGAGCTGGGGTGCAGCCCCAGGCTGGGCGTGAGGCAGAGGACAGGAGGAGAGGGACCCTGCTGCTGCTGCGCTCTGCTCAGTTCCTCCCCGTGCTGCAGCCGTTCTCCAGAAGGAAAACCTTTTCCGAAAACAGTTCCCAAGAAGGGTGGTGTGTGCTCAGAGGGAACTGCTGCGCCGCCTCTGGCTGCCCACCCCCTGCAGGGGCTGCGGGCTCACCGCTCCCCATCCTCTGGGGTGTGCTGGGCTCCGGTGAGGTGGGGTGAGGAGGTCGGGGGCACCCCTTGGCAGCCCCCCAGCATGGGGGCTCCGGAGCCGGGGCTGCGGCAGCACCGCCCAGCGCAGGCAGCAGGCAGCCAGCTCCTCTCCTGGCTGCGATGCACTCACCACGCCGTCACCCCCGGTTGCTGGTGCCTGACCTGTTCGTCTTCTTCTGCTGCCGGCAGCAGCTGGCTGCCAGCGACGGGGCGCTGACGGGACTTGTTGAAGCAGAGGCGCTGCTCCGAGTGGCAGGTTCCCCGCGGCTCCCACCCGCCACCTCTCCCTACACCCCGCAAGTGATGGGTGCCCTCCCTGCCCCGGCCCTGCTGAGTCACGCCGGTGGCACCCAAAAAAGTGTGATTTCACACCAGCCCTGCGCGCTGCTCCCGAGCACCCTGCACCGCTCCAGCCAGCCTGCGTGGGCCCCGTGGCAGCTCCAGCCACGGCTCCCTCACCTGCCTGTGGGGGCACAGCACTGGGCACCCCCCACGCACCCACCCTGCCTTCTGCTCCCCCATAGCAGCATCAAGAGACTGCCTTTAGTAACTGTCCATCCGTAGAGCAATTTGGGTAACAAAACTTTGCATTTCCCTACTCCCTTCTGCCCAATGACCCTGATGGGAGGAGGGGCTGGGGACAGGGTTTGGGGAGCACCACAGCCACAGCGGGACATCTCTCGGGGCTCCTCCAGGCAGCCTTCAGCCTGCGATGGACACGCACCGGCCCACTGAGGTATGGGGACTCCCTGTATGAGGACAAGCCCTGCCCCATGGCCACAAGTGTCCCCGTGGGGACCCAGCTCTGCGCCAGGCGAGGTGCCCCCCGGCAGACCGGGCTGTGAGCCCCTCCACGCAGCCCTCCCGTGGGGCCGAGGAGGGCAGTGCCATCACTGGGACCAGCGCAGCGCACACGGCGTGCCCAGGCGCGCTCCCGTGGCTGTGGAAAAGCTCTGCTTTTTATGATAGGCTTTGCAACCGCTTTATGGTTTCAGCTCTTAAGTGTCTTCTGCAGAGGAAAAATGCTTTCTAATGAGATCTTAACGGAGGCAGCTGCACGCGGTAATTATTACATGAGTGGCATTTGAAGAGCGATCATTTGATGGCATCTTAATTTAGGTTGTTGCCCCATAAATGTAGCAAATGTGCTCGTACTCCTGAGCTGGTAAAAGGCTGCAGGATGGGCAGAGACCTGCGGGCGGTGCTCACTGCAGACGGTCCCTGCAGCGCGGGCAGGGACGCGGGGCTGGGCTCGGGTCAGTGGCCGGGCCCCAGGAGAGGAGGTGGCCACGAGGCTGGGGCAGTAACACCAGGAAGGAGAGCCCGGGAGGTGCTGGGGGATGCGTTTCTGCAGGGAGGGCCTGGGCAGGGGCAGCACGGGCACCCCCCTCGCCCCCGACCCACCCCGGGACCCAGGGGTCAGCACACAGAAATGCGCCCTGGCAGCTCCGCAGCACTGATGCCGCCCCACGAGGCTCATGCCCGCCGCTCGCAGACATCCTGGGTGCAGCAGCAATTCTCTCCCCCTTACTTTGGAAGGTGGGAGATCATTTTGCGGGTCATAGTGAGGAACTGGTGGTGCCTCAGGATGGTGAGAGGAGCTCAGGGGGTAACTGATAACACCCTTGTTTGCTTTTCCCTGGGGCTCAAGGCTTGGCAGGCTTTGAGACGCTCCCTGGGGGTCCGTGGACTACCCCTAAGGGCTCTGTGTAAGGGGATTAGCAAAGCAAACCCTAGGGATGCTTGCTTTCACATGCAAAACCCTTTTTTTTTTTTTTTTTTTTGCACAGACATTTGAGGCCGTTTAATCTCGGTGCTAAGAGGCTGTGAACTGTGCAGGTGGGCTTCCCAGCCGCCCCCAGCCCCACCACCCCCTGAGGACAAGGGACCCCACGCCCCCAGGCTCCATGCAGGCACCCCCTGCCCCACTGAGCGCACGCAAACCGAGATCCTACCTTGCTGGCGGGCTTCCAGCTCCTTCATTTCAAGGTCGTGGGTCAGCTCTAGGAGAGAAACCAAACGGGGATGAGCCCGAGCCCCTGCCCCTGCTCCCCCTCTCCTGCCGGGGCTGAGCCCTGGCTCCTCTGCCCGGCCCCAGCGCTCGCAGCCGCTCCCAGGCCCGGTGCCTGGCAATCCGTGAGCTGTGCGGCAGCCTCGGGACCTGCAGCAGCCCCGCTCCTGGATGGGACTGGTGCAGCTGCAGGTCCTGCCCCAGCGCAGGCAGGAGAGGTTCCCTCACACCCATGGGGCCTTTTTTTTTTTTTTGGAACCATTTTCGGTGCTTTAAATCAGGACAAAGAGCAAAGCAACGGACTGAAAATAGACCAAAGTGTAAACTGCTGCCTGAAGTATTTCATAATTTACTGCTTGCAGCCTGCTCTCTCTGCCTCTGCGCATTACGCAAGCGGGACGTCCTTGTCCCTGCGCTGTGCCTGGAGCAGGGCGCTGCTGCGGCACCGCGTACCCCACAAAATCCTCTTCAGACCCATCACCGCGCGCAGCCAAAGGGCCGAGCCTCCCCCAGGGTCCCCAGCCCCAAAGCACCCAGCTCTCCAGGGCTCATACAGCTCAGGGACCTGCTGGAGCTCGCCTTTAACCTGCAAACATTTACAATTTCTTTTGAATTAATATGACAGACTGCTGGACTAGCAGCAGCTAAGAGAGAAGGAAGGAGCTAACAGCAGTAGTCAGTCATTTTGGAGCTCTTTTTTTTCTGAATATGAATTCAAATGGTTAATCTTTGCCCTACATTTTTCTTTTAATCTGCTTTCGTGCTGACTCTAATCCTCATCACTGCCATCCTTCTGAAACGCAACGCTTGGCTCAGGCTCCTCTGCCCGTCTGTCTTGGAAAACAAATCTGTAGTGAGAATGCAGAAGTAACTGAGAACGTAATGCAATTTCTGGAAAGCTTTCAGCACTCCTGACTGCCCCATTGGAAATCAATGGCAGCTGTGTTATTTCTCTGAAGCTAAAATAATGGGTTTGGAGTCTCAGAGATAATCCAAACGAAACCTAAAGCAGTGTCCCGTTTGAACAGACAGCGCTGCTCTGCTGCACAACGCGCAGAGCGGGCTCCTTGCTGCTGGGCCAGTCGTGGGGGTGCTGCAAACCCCCTCTGGCTGCGGGCTGGATGCGTGCGGTGGCAGCTCTGCCCCGGCTGCTCTGCCCTGGCCTTGCCACAGCGGGACGTGGCCGTGCCCTGGAGGGGCCACAGCCCGCTCCAGCTCCGTGTTCCTCACCCCTCGCCCATCTCCAAGGGGCTCCCCCCAGCTCCTGGCACCCCACCGGGCGCTGTGGTTGCGCTCTGCAGTGTCCAGGACACCCTCGCCGTGCCCGGGGCCATGCGGTCCCAGAAGTGGGACACCATCCATGCCCTCGGGAGCAGCGGGGACCCGCAGGGTCTCTGCTGCCCCCTGGACAGCGGGCTGCTCCTGTGCTCGGGTAGACGTGGGGGAGAGCGGAGGGGCTGCCAGCACCTTCTGTGCTGCACGTTGCTGATCCACCACGCTGCGGTGGATTCCCTCCTGGAAACCCGGCTCTGCTTCCTGCACGAGCTTCCCCTGCTGCTGTTCTGCTAACACTGGGGAACATGCTAATTATTGCCACAAGAGTTGAGCTCATCTTCCAGTAAAAGGAGAAACAGAAGAGTCTGAAAGAATCTATTGCTATTTCTGCTGTGTTTATGCTTCGCAAATAAAATGGGAGTGGGAGGAAAGCCAACTCTGCTCTGTAACGTGAAGTTTATTCCAATAAATGAATCATAGCACACTGCTCCTCACTGCATTTATCTTCCTGTAAGCGCTGCGACTGTAGATGCTGGGCTGCAGGGCTTCACAAGGGCCAGCCTCCCAGCTGACCCCCCGCAATATCTGTGGCCCCACCGGCCCCTTCCTCCCACCCGTGCTGCTGGGGGAGCGGTGTGGAGCCCAGCGGGTGCCGGGGCCCCCTCCCCAGCTTGCCTTCGTCCCGCTGCCCCGCAGCAGCGCTGGGTGCGGAGGCTGCAGAGCACACAGAGCACAGCCTGTGCCAGCCCAGGTCCTGAGGCAGAAAAGCTGTGGGTTTATCTACTCAGAGAAGCTCCCTTATCAGCACAGCTATTCTGCTGCCAGATCCAGCCCGGTCTGGTGCTGTGTGCCCTGCGCAGCCCCCCTGGGGTCACCTCGTGTGGCACCACTCGGCTCCCTCCCCGAATAGGCACCCCCAGGGCCCAGCACCCAGACACTGCCAGGGCTTTGTCAGAGGGCAGCAGCAACACAGAAATGCACTGGGGGCTGGGCTGGCAGCGATGCTGCTCAGACACCGAGGTCACGCTGCAAAAATCCAAGGTCTGAACAGGAGATCCAGGTGCAGCAATGAGCTACACACCTGGACCAGGCGGGGAAGTGCTGAGTGACCAGTTCTCCTCTCACACAAACTGCATCGCAGGGGATGGCACGGAAAACATGACCAAAGTCATCCCAGAGCTGCACAGGAGTTCTGCCCCCATTGCTCCTAGCGGAAAGGTGCCGCAGAACTACACACCGTGCTCATGGCACAGCACTCATCCAGCCCCACGGTGCTGCCAGTCGGCACAGCTGCGAAGAGCTGATTGCAAACAACAGACGTGGACGGGGCCATCTCTGCCACGGGTGGCTCTGAACCCCTCAGCGTGATTCAGGCCTGAGAGCCCCGCTGTCTCATACTGCCTCATCCTCAGCCTCCCAGATATTAAAAGAAATGAAACACAACAGACAAAGCTGGGGAAGGATGGGGAATAAACCGACAATTTTAGCAATGCCGTCATGTCTCTTTCCCAGGAACCAGTGAGAACGAGAAGCTGGAAGACAATGAGTAATTCGCTGCAGCTGAATTATTGATGAGAGCGCCGGGATGGATTTCAGTGGCAGGCACAGCAGGGTCGCTGCTGGGCGAGGGGTTTTATGGGAGAGCCCCCACACTGCGGGGACCTGCCCCCAGCCCAGGCTCCCCGGGGGCCAGGAGGGCGGCAGTGTCTCTGCAGCCCTGCGTGGAGCCGTGCTCCTGGCTGGCAGTGGATGTGCTGGTGCCGTGGGTTCAGTGCTCACACAGCACCGGGCAGCAGACACGGGCACTACCAACAGCACCAGTGCCGAGCTGCTCCAGGCCAGGCTGGCAGGAAAGAGGGGATTTCACAGCTCCAAATAACAGAAAATAATGCACAGTAACAAGATAGAAACAAGAAAATCACATTCCCCTGGTTCTGAGAGTGACTTTGGCACAATCCCGTGCACCCCCATCATCAGTGGAGTTCAGCCCTTTTCCTTCCCTTCATCTACCAGCAGCAGGGAGAAAGGAAGAACTGCTTTTACATTTTAACAAACAAAATACCATTGAGGGCACAAATCATAGAAAGAAAAGGCAGGACCACCTTGCTGGCTGATGCTTGGGTTTCTTTTCCTTTCCTTAGACCAGCGAACACCTCCAGGGCAGCGACTACTGCAGTCAAACTACGGCTGGGTGTGGGCGCACGGCCTGGGGAGAGCACTGAGCTGGTGGGGCCGATCCCCTTTCAGAAGCCTGCCCCAAGCACTGAGTTAAAACGAAGGAAGAGGGTCCTAATTATGGATTATGAACACGGACTGCTCTCCTATTACCCGCTTTCCTGACACCGGGGCAGACGGTGCCCGGTGGGAGGGGAGGCACCAGGCGCTCACCTGAGCAGTGCTTCTGCAGGCGGAGGATCTCCAGGTGCAGGTCGTGGAGCAGCTCCATCTGCTCCTTCTTCAGGAAGGCGATGTGCCGCTGCACGCTCTGGATCTGGCGCTCCAGGGACACGGTCTCCATCGCAACCGAGCTCGCGGTCCACGCCTGCGGGGAGAGGACACGGCCTGCCGTCAGACAGCAGCGGCACCGCGGCACCCCGGGAGCGGAGCCGGTCCCAGAGCCCCTGCAGGAGGCAGAGCCGCCGGGCACCGCGGGCACCTGCTCCCCGCTGTCCCCCCCAGGGATGTGGCTGCGGGCAAGGTGGTTCTGTGCAGGGGCTGTGGCCCCGCCGGGGGTCCCGCAGGAGCAGCCCCCGAGTCCCCGCACGGCCCCATCCCCGGTGCCAGCTCTCGCTGTGGGCTGGAGAGCTCTGATGCTGCACAAACAGAAAGCGCTGCCGTACGGCCGCGTGTGTTGAAACAGCTCGCTTCTATTTTAAATTTGGCCCTGGGAAATGTTTCATCGCTGAGCAGGATTACATCTGGGACAGGATTGCTTCCTGCTCCCCCCGCAGTCCCCAGGTGGGAGCCACACCAGCGCTGATTTGGGCTGTCACTTGGCAAGCCACGTATTACAGAGCAGCAACTGCGGCAGCAGATCTAGCACATGAAAAATACAATATGCTCGGTCTAATCCAATCAGCGTTACGTGGCGAGGAGCTTCGCGCTGCCTTACAGCCGAAGGAACATCTCCACTGGTAATTCACCCGACAGACGTGCTGCTGCCAGCTCCATGCCCGGAGCTCAGCCCCGGGGTGCAGGAGTTCATGGCGCGGTAACTGCTTCATGAAGCAGCCACGTGAGCTGCCCACCTGCACCGAGGAGATAAAAATAAATCTCTGGAAGAATCCTTAATTCTGGGAAATACCATTTTGTGTGGATGTGGAATCCGTCCTTATCCCAAACACCGAGCCTGGGAGAAGGGGAGCCTGCAGCAAGCTGCTGGACATGCTGGGATCTTTTAGCCAGGAAGCCCAAGGACAGCACGCTGCAACCTGCCACTGCTACTGCCACCTCCTCCTTCACTCACATCTGATTTTGTTTCTCTCAATACAAACTTGAAGACTAAGCAAGTGCTTTAGCTCACGTTTATGAGCAAGCCCAGTCCTTTAATGTAGCACATTTTAAGCTAATTCCCACAGCCTAAACCAAATCAAACCCCATTTAAGCTTGATTCCAAAGCAAGTAATCTTGGCAGAGTTCCTAGCTCAAAGCTCTGTTCTTGCCAAGGCCTCCAAAGGTTTGTGGAAACCTTAAGATCAGGTCTCCTATTTCATGAGAAGGGAAGGGGCCGCAGTGAGGCTCCAGCCCTGGGAGCACCTTCCCCACTGCCCCTGCCATGGGGGCATTGCCTGCAGCAGCCCCAGCCCCCTGGGGACCTGCTCCTCCTGCCCCCATGGAAGGTGATGCCCCATGGAAGGTGATGCCCTGCCAGCCCACCACACAGAGCTACAGCCACCAAGAGATACACAGGGAATTTTTAGCTCATTTAAAGCTAAATTTATTTAAGCCTATAAATTCCTTATTTATAGGAAACAGCTGCAGGGCTTGGAACAGCGCTGATGCCCTGCAGCTGCCCCCATCTCCCAGCCCTGGTATAAAACCCCCCAGCACAGCAGTGCTGCTTTCTTCATGGGGGTGCTGTGGTGGGGGGGGGCTCTGCTTGCACAGGGTGCTGCCCCCCCCCCCCCCACACCCCCACATGTGTACAGCTGGGCTCTGTCTGGCCCTCTGCTTGCTGCTGCTGCTGCTCTGCCTGCTGTGGGGCTGGGGTCCCGGTGGTGTACGGACAGGGTGCTTGCAGCCGGCTCTGGCACAAGCTGGGTTCTGCTGTGGCTGCCTCCTGCCCTGGGGGTAAGGGCCTCAAACTGGAGCTGTGTGAGGGGCTTGGGGCCCTCGCTGTGGTCTGCGAGGCTGCAGGGATCTGGCTAAAGCCTAAAATAAGGAAAGTGTGTAATGTGAACAGGCTTTGGCATATGTGGTGGATTGTTATCGGCTATTTTCATGCCTCAGGGAGCTGTTTCTAGTGGCAAAATAATGACATGCCTGGTTTTAGGATGGATCTGCTCTTCAGGGAATGAAATGCTCCAAATGCTCAACGCATGAATGCTATAGAAAAGCACAAAAAGGCTGGTGTGATACATAAAAGCAACAGATACAGAGGTCCTGCTCCTCGTTTAAGCACTTATTGTGAGAGGTATGATTTATACCAGCTTAAAGCTTCCCTGTGGAACAATGTCATCTAAGTGGAAATTGCCCTGAACTGGCCCTCCTGTTCCTGCCTGCCTGGACGTAAGGTTCATGTGCTCGGTTCAAAGCAACCAGGGGCATTGCCTGGGACCTCAGGGGACTTGTAGGCCCTCGGTGTTTGTCATTTCAAAGTGGATTTGGGGGGAAAAAATATTGCTCTAGACTTAACATCCTAATCACTCCCATTCTTCCGAATGGCGTGATGACGGTTTTGAAGCCTTGTAGGTTAGTTAACTTTTCCTGATGACATCTTAATTAACAGACAAGGTTAAAAGGTCTGTATCCTAATGGCTTCCAGGAGAGCTGGCACTTGTTCTGTGTGATGTGAACTGGCAATGAAAGGAGCTGATGCTGGAGGGCGAGGTTACTCGTGCCATCGCAGCGTGCCCTCCTGCAGCCCTGGTGGCGGGGGGGCTGGGGAAGGTGTGCCCCCACCTTGGAGCAGTTTCTTTAAGGAAGGGGTGGAACCTTTTCTCTGGAAGTGTCAGAAAGTAGGTTGGACAAAGCCCTGGAGGATACATGGTGCTATTTTCAAGCACTTTGTTCCGTCTGGTTGAGATGTGTTTGGTAGAAATGGCTGGGATCTTTCCACTCAACTTTTCCTCCCCTCCGTTAGGTGGCAAACTCTCCATTTATTAACTTAGCATCCCACACGGATCCTGAGCCCTGGGACTGGTTTCCCCAGTTATGGAGCTTTTCAGAGCCCACCGCTTGGCAGGGATTTCTTCAGTGCCCACCTGAATGCTTCTCCTGTCATGACTCGGGGGAGCTGTGGGGCTTCCACAGGGTACGTGCATGCGGCCCTCCAGCAGCCCCATGGATGTCAGCAGGCAGCACAGACTCAGAGCCCTGGGCAGGGGCTGTGGGAATGCCCCGGGCAGGAGATGCCTCTCCCCCAGCCCCTGCCTCCCCGTGGAGAGGAGCAGTGGTGCCACCCGGCAGCTACCTGGCATCTCCGGGGTACAGGTGGTGATGCAAGAGCACAGAGCTATTGGGGAAGCTGCAGTTTAGTTGTGGAGCTTCAGCAGCACCTGGAAGCTGCTCGAGCATTTCCGATGTCACTGGCTGTGAACAAACCCTTGCCTTGCCGGGAGGTCCCCACTCAGTACCCAAAAGAACTTCGAAACAGAACTCTCAGCAACTTGTTTTCCCTCCGTTGCTTTTGAAGTTAAGCGGAGGTTGCAGCTGCACTGTGAGTGTTTATTTTGCGGTGCCTCTGGTCATTTCACACAGCGAAATCACCTGGGAGGTGTCAGGAGTTAATAAGGGTTATTTGCTGCTGGCCGACCTCATAACGTGCTACAGAGCCGTCCTGTCTGCCTGCTGATGGCCCTGCAGCCTGTGCATGAGGCAGGGCAGGAGCCTTCAGCCCGACACGAGGCAGAGCGCGGTCAGCGGGGTGCTGAGCACCAGCGCCTCGCCTCAGGAGCACAGCTCCCCATGGGACGGCTGCACTGCTCCGAGCAACGTGAGGGGCTGGAAGCGAGCTGCTCCCATCCCTCCCTCGTAGCTTCAGCCGTGACTTTGTGCTTCCAGGCCAGGGCTGAGCTGCCGAAGCAGCTGCTGGTGGGAGGCCTCACGGGGCTGCGCACTGCGGGGCTTGGGGGAGTCACGTAAGAGGTTGCAGCCCCAGCAAAAGTCACTTGCTGTAAAAGCCCGCGGGTAGGCAGTGCTCCCCTCAGTCTGAAGGAGCTCGGTGCCTTGTTTCTGCTGGCTGCGTGCATGTGCACAGCTGGAAAGGAGGCACCCACTGGAGTGGCAGCCACCCCCAGTCCCTGGTTTGCTGGGGTGTCAGCCCCATGTGTGCCTAGGACTGTGCTGAAAAACGTGCCACTTGGGTGCATCCACCCTGCCACAACTTTCCTGCCGACCTCAAACCCGTGCCTCTTCACAAAGCTCCAGGAGGATGTGGCCAAGCGCTCCTGGGTCTCGCTGGCCATGCCTCGGGAGGCACCAGGTGCCATGCTACGTGTGAGGCACCCAAACATCACCGGGCGTTCAAGGGACTTGCTCTCCAAGCCCGGCAAGGTGCTGATGGGGAGTGTGGGGGCTCTGGGCTCAGTCCCCACCAGGTTCCCAAGCTGGGTACAGCTGTGAGTGCTGAGCCTGCTCGTGGTCCTGCCCTCCACCTGCACAGCGGAGCGTGCTTTGCCTCCCTCCATCACTACGCTGCAGCCTTTGGGACACAGGGCACTGGGGGTGCTGATCTCAGCAGGGTGTTTCTGGTACTGCTGGGAGCTTGGTGAGGTTTGCAGTTCCATCCCAATTCATCAGAGTTCCTATTTCTCACAAAACAAAGCAGTTAACCTCTCAGAGTAACTACAGTGAGCGACTCGGTTCCCAGTCTGCTCAGAACTGACCATCACGGACAGCTCGTCTGAGGGTTGGCTTCTGAGGCCAAACAGCTGGAGCCTGTGCGCGTCAGTCCCAATCCCAGAGCTGTGAGCTCAGAAAGCGACCTCAGCCCCTGCTGATGCCTTCCAGAGGCAGCGGTGGTTTTGCATCTGAGCATAGCCCTGCACAGACGCGGTCATACAGAGATCCGCATCATTGTTCCTCATAACGGGCCAATTACCTGGGGAGGCTGAGGGCACAAACAAGGTTTGCAGGGACAGGTGGATGATTTATCCCGCTGGGGCTGCCAGCAGCCCCCAGCCCAGCACACGCAGCAGCGGTGCCGCTCAGCGCTCCCGGTCTCAGCGCGAGCAGAACTTGGCAGCGGTGCCGTGAGGCGGCTGCGGACGGGAGGGGGGCCGGAAACTTGCGGAAGGTCACGGAGCGGCGGGGCCGGGAGAGGAGCCCGGGGGGGGACCCGCGGCCTCGGGGCTCGGCAGCACCGCGCAGCGCCCCCCCCGCCCCGCCCCGCCCCGCCCGCAGCCTGGGCCCGCTGCGAGCGGCGCCGGGGGGGGCCGGGGGGGGCCGGGGGCCGTCCCGTGCTGCCCCCGCGGCTCCGGGGGCGCTGCCGGCGGGGTCGGGCCCGGTGCGGGCCGCGCTCGGCGTCTCCGCGGGGCCCCCCCGTGCGCTGCGCCCCGCGATGCCGCCCCCACCCCCCCGCTGCCGTCCCCCCCCCACCCCTCCGCCGCCGCCGCCGCCGCCGCCGCCGCCGCCTTACCTCCGGGGAGCGCCGCGGCCCCGCGGGGCGCCCGCTGGGCGTCATGGGGCCGGGCCGGGCCGGGCCGCACCGGGGCCGGGGCCGGGGCCGGGCCGGGGCCGCTCCGGGCTCCCCGCGCTGCCCGCGCTGCCTGCGGCGGCCCCGCCTCGCCCGGCCCGGCCCGGCCCCGCCGCCCGCAGCCGTAAACAGGCGGCAACGTGACCGGAACTGGGGCTCGGCCGCGCCGAGCGGGGCCCGCGGGCACCGGGACCGGCCCCGGGGCCGCCCCTCGCGGCCGGGCCGGGCTCCGGGATCCCCCCCCGGCCCCCCCCGGCCCCGCCGCCGCTGTCCGCGGTGCTGACGGCGCCCGCCCGGCCGCGGCCCCGAGCACGGCGTTGGTGCCCCCCCCCCCCCCCCGGGCTGTGCGGGGAGGGACCCGCGGGGCGGGGAGCCCGGGGCCGGCGGGGCGCGGGGGGGCTCCCGGGGCTGTGCTCTGAGGCCGCCGCTCACCCCGCGAGGTGCGCCCTGCGGGGCGGCCGGGCCCGGTGTGCCCGCGGCCTGCCCGTGCCTCCCGGCGGGGCCCGGCAGCCCCCGGCCCCTCAGCCCGGGTCAGGGTCCGGCAGTGCCCCCGGGCCGGGCCGTGCTGCCCCCCCCCGCAGTGTCCGCACCGCTGTCCCCGCAGGGTGCCGGCAGCTCACAGCCCGCACTGAGCGCGTTGCAGGGCAGCCCGCACTGACGGCCCCGTGTCGCTGCCACCCCGCGTCCTTTCTGCTCCTGGGGTGTCCCCGAGCTCTGACAATGCCTGTGCCACACACTGCGACCCGGGGTGTGCCATGGGAACAGCCCTGCTCTCTGCCACGGAACGGTCCTGCACTGCCCGCATCACACCTGCTGGTCCGGGTACAGTGCGGGGGGTCTGCGATGTCCCCGTGCTGCAGCAGGCAGCCCGGATCCCTACCTGGTGCTGGGTGCTGTGGCACAGCCTGGCTTGGTGCAAGCTGCTGGCAGAGGGAGGCTGGGCTTGGAGTCAGGACTCCTCTATGGAGAGTGAGCTTAATTCATACCAAGAGCAAAATCGTCACATCAGGAGAAAAGGTGGCTGGGGAGGTCCGAAGGTCTGCACACGCAGACAGGAATGTA